GCTAAATGCTAGTCTTAATGCTAATGCTAATGTGAATATTAATACTAATATGCTAATGCTAATGTTAATACTGATATGCTAATGCTAATGTTAATACTAAGTTAATGTAAATCCTAATGTACTAATGATAGTCCCAATCCAAACATGTTAATAATGCTAATTCTAATCTAAATTCTAAAAATTCTAGAATGGATATTTGAATATTCCAAAATATTGAAAATTAAAAAAAAAAAAATTGTATTCCTTTATTTTAATATTTGAATATTAAAAAAATGTTTTTTTTCTGGAAATTATTTGAATATTCGTAAAACAAATTAAGTATCCTTAATTTTTACAATAAATATATTTTGAAATACTGAAAATATAAATAAGATATTTTTATTTCGAATTTATAAAATATAAAATTTGGAAATAATATATATATATACATGTGGTAATTGTTTAAATGAGTGTACAAATTTTAAATAGGAAAGAACTTAAATACATACCAAAATAAAATTGACAACTCATCAATTGAAGAATCCACCTCATCAATTGAACTACAACTAAGCAATTTTGATAAATGACATCAACATTTGCCACATGTCATTCATATAGGGCATAGATCCTCTTTTTATATTATATATAGATTCGAATAACATTATAAGATTTGTCAAAAAATAAAGGGTAAATTACACTTACATCCCCGATTTATGCTAAAAGAACTTTAAGGTCCCTATAGTATCGTAATTACACTCGCCCCCACGAAACATTGTTTGAAACCTAATGGAATAATGCATTAGATAAGTTATACCCTTAGGGTTCTAACGGTCTATTAGTTTCAGGCAGTGGTGGTAACAACATAGAGCAAGGAGGTGACATGGATGTCATAACATTCCTTAAATCTTTATTATTTTATATAAGATTTATAAATTTTCGTCTATGGTAGCATTAACAGCCCCGCGGGAAACAAATAAAGTGCATATATGTCCCCAGGACATGAAATCTGGGCTCCGGTAATTGTTTCAGGGGTGTGGCTGTAATTACCAATACCACATGGACCTTAAAGTAATTTTTGCATACCCCAGGGATGTAGGTGTAATGTACCCAAAAATAAATTATTTCCCCTAAATAATAGTAAACTCTATGCGATTTAGTTGGGCTTGGGCCCATTAGGAAAATTGTTCTTTTTAAAAATCCCAACTTTGAATATTCACGAAACTGAAAAATATGAACATATTATATAGTTTCACAGAAGACTGAACTAATTAGGTTTTCTGTAGGCAAAAATGAGAACGTGGCTAGCTGTTAAACTATTTATTATATATTACTTTTTATTTCTTCTAATTATCCTATAAATATATTTTATTATTAGTAATTTAAATGGAATATTCTTTCTATAGTTTGAGTAAAAAAAGATAATAATCATATAGAAATAGTCTTCATATATGTGTACAATGTTTTTTCAGATAAGTTGGTGAGATGTCATTCAATATATGGAGATTTAAAGTCTATATGAAACAGTTGTGTTAGATATTTTTAATTATTAATTATTCAAGTTAGATATTTTGAGAGGCTTAAATATTTGTTTCTGCAATTAATTTTGTTTGTTTATCAAATCGAATTCGGAAAAAAAATTATCAAATCGAACTCTAGTGCTTTTGGGTTTGTATCCAATGTTTTTATTTATTTATTAACGGCGCCAAACTCGAGTCAGAGTGTATAACGAACTAAAAAATGAGCTCGAACTTGATTTATAAGTTTAACGAGCTTGCCAATGTAATTAAAGCAAACAAGCGGGTCTGTTTTTGTAATTTTATCTTTATTTGAACTAGCATTTTTTCCCGTGCGATGCACGGGATATTATTTCAAGAGTAAAAAAAAATCAATTTAATCCATGATAAGAAAATATAGTCCACGAACATAGTAAAATTTAATAATATAGTATTAGTCATATTTTATATAACATTAGTTTTTTTTATAATCTTAAATATTAAAATTTATAATCCAAATATATAGATTTAAATTTAAAAAATCGAATTTACATCTTTATTTCTTAAGATTTAAGATATATTGATGAGAAATAGGAGATTGATAATTGTTGAAAATTAGTAAAGAAAAATTATTAAAAATATTTAATTAAAGAAATAACATTAGCATTTTTTAGGATTGCCCAGCATTTCTTTCTTTTATATATAAGATGTGGTGGTCACAATTTACCATTGATTATAAGGTACATTGTTTACAACTACCTCCCCTGAAATTAGGTTAAGTGTAATTACAACTAGACCCCTAGACCCTTGAAAATAACCTATACCTTATTTCAGGTTGATACTAGCTAGTAAATAGCAAGGTTGTAAAAAACGGAAATTGGGTCAGACGCGATCAGCGACCGCTCACGATTAATCGATGCGGCGGTAATTAATCGGTGATAAATCGGAAATAAATCGGTTTTTAAAATTTAATATAATATGTTTCTAGATATTATTTATAAATACTAAAAACATATATAAAAAGATATTTAAACATAGTTATATCTCCATCATGTGTATATCCTAATAACATAATAAAAATTTAATAATAATAAGATCATAATACATAAATATCCTTATAAAATATAAATAAAAAGGCAATTTTTTTAAATATACATTTATTCGTGAACATTTCTGGCATACATCATTAGTTCTTTAACAATAAGAGTTAACATAAACAAAATAAAGTATAAACTCATTTTTTTTTATTAAAATCCCAACTTATATTATGATTTATAAAAAAAAAAAAAAAAAAAAAAAAAAAAAAAAACCGATTTTTGCCACCGAAGTTTGACCCGCCTTAAAGGTTTGACTGCCTCGGACCGCTTCAAACCGCCTAAACCCGCCTCACAGGCAAAAAACCGATTTTTCAAACCTTTACACTAAAATCGTAAAGGTTTTCGACCGCCTCCGCCTCGAAGACCGATTAATCGGCCGCCTCGGCCGATTTTTAGAACACGGGTAAATAGTAATTAACTCATTTAACAGTTAAGTTTTTTGAAATTTTATTTTTACTCTCGACCGAATATTGAGTAAATTACTTTACCTACCCATTAGGTTAGAGTTAATTATCTGTAAAGCCCTCATATTTTACAAAATTACAAAGACCTCTCTAATGTTTCATGTTAACTAGAAGTGCAAATTACGGCCTACCCATGAGCTGAGGTATAATTACGAGAAAAAAACTCTCTTGTTTGCATAATTACAACCACACCTCAACTATGTATTTGTTTGTCCGTCCACCCTTACGATGTCAAATTTACCTAGGGTTGTTCATCTGGTCGGCAAACCAATTGAACCGAACCGAACCGAACGAAAATTCGCACATGCCAATTACCAAACCGTTATATCTTAAAATATTTTTTTATAAATTTTGGTAATTTGTTTTTTTATCGAACCAAACCCTAAACGGTATTAAAATTTTACAAAATGAACGCTCCTACATTTATCAACTGGAGAGATTTTTTCGTAAGATAATACATAGTTAAGAGGTGCTTATAATTATACAAACAGGGGTTTTTCGTAATTTAGCCTTACCTAAGGGAGGTGGTCGCAATTTACCCGAACTAGAAATATAATAATAGGTGAGTTTCCTTTTTTTTTGTAAATTAGATTAATAACAAGGGACCGAATGCAAAATATGAAAGAAAGTATGAACCTTTAAGAAAACGTCAAAATGATGATGTCACTACGAGCCTTTTGTACTACTCCTGGAAGTGATGAGGGTCATTATGCATTAATAATGTGATTAAGTTACTAAATATAGATTAGTTGTGACATCCCACAACTGCTAACCCAACTTTTTTCTTTCTTTACCTAATAAAGGTTATCCAAACTTTTTTCTTACAACCGTAATCATTAGTCATTAGTGGAGTCAGGATTTAAAGTTACTGGGGTCGAATGTATTAAAAGAAATTTGAGGGCAGGCTGAAAATATTATTAGACATAATTTTTTGTATATTTTTATAAAAATAATAAGGATTTGGGAAATTTTGGGGGCCATGTCCCCTTTGATCCTATACTGACCCCGTCACTAACGATAGTACATATTTTCGAGAGGATCAAGTCATCATATTACTCATTTGCAATGTCAACCCAGTTCATTAAAAACAATTTCTATCTAATCTGAAATTTCAGAAATATTTCAAAATTCTTATATATTTTTTAAGTAACATTTTTTATATTAATTATATTGCATACATATATTTGTATGATGTATTCTAAATGTAGTTTATGTAAAAAAAAATATACATAATTTTAAACATAAACTATTAAAGTGGTATAGTATATATTTTATTTTTTAAAATTTACATAGAGTAGATTATATTTTCTTCGAAAAACAATTCAACTAGTATTCGAAAAAAATATTAAAAAAAAAATAGAAGTGATACGAATGTTCAAAAAATCCAAAGTCAAGATGAATTCTCACATATCCGAAAACAATCAATGATTACAAGTAAAATCGATTTTTCAATTTCGAAAAAAAAAATCGTAAATTTCCTGAGAAATTGTTCGCCGGTTCATCGATTTTCAACCGTAATTGCATCACCCATACAAAGATCAAATCTTCTGTCGAAATGAGGAGAAAGCAGCAAAAGAGAATGACAAGACAAGATAGCATGTTGGTCATAAGATCGAGTCATAGAATGATGATTTGATGAACCAGTAACTATCTTTCTTTAGAAGAAGAGAAAAACAAAAAGAAAAAAAAAAAAAAAAAAGAATTGCAGGAGCAATATGACAAGAGTGTGCAACCACTATTACATAAAAGAAATTAAAAGAATATATATATATATATAAATAAATAAAGAAAGAAAAAGCAAATTAAAGAAGAAGTAAAAGGAGAACAAGACATATATCCCTTAAAGCATAATTTACCTGTTTTTTTGGCATCTCATCTTCTTTATGCATATGACCTGTTTTTTTTGAGTTGATTTATTGGTGGGCCATTCAAGTAAATTACCATTTTATCCTTTGTTCTTTCTTTAATTACTTTAAATTCATGTTAATTAATTTACTAAAAAACCCACGTTAATTACAATCTTAATCATGGTCTAAAAGCAGCATTAGTGTTAATCAAGAAATGATGATGCACAATCATTAATTAATTAAAAAAAGATTAAAAATCAAGAATCAAAACAAATGTTAATTAATTAATTAATTAATTAAAAAAAGGTTAAAACTTTTTCTTGCTTCTGTCTCTGCCGCCGGAGAAGATGGAGCCGAAGCCGAATAGATTCGCCGGAGGAACATTTAACACGTGATTGAATTTAAACCCATTTATGTAAGAAGAAGAAGAATGGCTGTTCTTCTTCAACGGCGGCTTAGACGACGAGGAATACGCGGATTGCGGCGGCGGCGGCGCTTGCTTCGGCGGCGCGTATTTCGAGAAGTTCTGTTTGTGATTATTTGAAACCGACGAGCGCTTACCGCTGGAAGCGGAGCCGGCGGAGTTACTTCTTGACAGGAGCGGCAAGGGGCAGAGGGTTCCGCCGTAGCCGCCGCTGCCGCCGCAGTTCAAGCTCGAGCTCCGCTTGAAACGCCAGAAGGACTTCTGCTTTTCCTCCGGCGGCTCTGCAGTTACTACCGGGTTCTTCGTTTCATTCGCGCTCGCCGCGGCGGCGGACGGCTTGCTGGGCGGCGGGGGTTTCTGCGGCGGCGCCGCCGGTGGAAGGGCGGATGACGGCGGCGGCGACGGTTGTGGTGGTGGGTTTTTGAGTACTGGAGGCGTGGCGGCGGGGGAGAGTCGTTTCTTGATTTGGATGGGGAGAATCTTGCCATCGAAGAAGAGCTCGTCGGCGGAGGAGGAATGGTGGTCGAAGCTTTCCCGGAAAACGCAGAAGTCGAAATCGATGGCGGAGGAGGTGGTGGTGCGAATGTACTCTTCGACTGGTACGACGTCGGATTGGGAAAGATCGTGCGAGAACGAGATCCGAGGACTCATCCCCATTGTCGGACTGTCGGGAAAAACTTCGATCGCCATTTTTTTTTTCTCCGGCGAAAAAAAAAAAAAAAACTGAACAGTTTTTTGGCTAAATTTATTTATTTATTCAAAGTGAGATAAGAAAAAAGCATTAAAAGGGGGTCATTAGCAATACACCCCTCCAATAGATAAAAAATAGTGATATGTCCATACCATAATTCTTCCTTTGTGAAAACCCCCTAGAATATTTATTTCCAATTTTACCCTTATACTACCCATTTTTTTTAATAATTATCTAGCAAAATTCCTATTACACGTTTTTTTTTAATAAATATATACTATTTACAACATTCCTATTAATAAGGCAACTAAATCCGCATTATTTACAAAATTCCTATTAATTAGGCACCTAAATTCCGCTAATTAGGATTAATTAGTACAATTTATCTCAATTATTCCTTTTTTCTCTCTTTCTATAATAACAATTTAATTCCTAAAAATATGCTTCCAAATTTCTAAAAAATTGCTACCAAATCAAAAAAAAAAAAAAATTCGGATTTTATTTTTTTATTTTATGTTTTATATTGTTTTCGGACTTTATTTAGTCATTTTTTATTTTTATTTTTATTTTTAATATTTTTTAATAAAAATAATTTTTTTTTATTTTTTTTAAACAAAAAATTGAATTTTTTCTCTCCACAGGTTTGCAACGCCGAATATGACTTATGGTTGAATATGACTATATGTGACTATATTAACAATCCAATCAATATCCACACAAAAAATCAATTTGAATCTACTTACTAGAAGTCAACTTGAAAACAAGATGATAGATTATATTCAACAATAGTCATATTCGAATATGACTACAGTCATATTCGAAAAATACATAAATATGACTATAGTCATATTCGAATATGACTATAGTCATGTTACTGCTGTTGTTCATATGTGAAAAAAAAAATCGAAAAATACAAAAATAAAGATACAAAAATAACGAGAGAGAGGGATGGGAGTCGACGACAACGGCGGTGGTGGCGGTGGTGAAGGAAATAGAGTGAAAGAGGGGGCGATGGTGGTGGTGGTGGCATCTGGAAAAAAAAACTGAGAAAACGATAAAGATAAAAAAAAAAAAAAAAAGAGAAAGAGCCTTACGTGGAAACGAAGGAGGAGGCGACGGCAACGAGCGGCGACGGTGGTGGTGGTATACAAATCTATGTGGAGACGATGGTGGTGTAAAGAGAGAGAAATCGACATAAACAACGAACACGAGAAATTAATAAATCACTAATCGAGTGAATCATCGATAGTCATATTCGAACCAGTATAGTCACGTTAATGCTTCTGCTCCAGATCTGGAGAAAAAAAAAATCGAAAGTAACGAAAGAGAAGGAGGGGGAGGCGACGACAACGACGGTGAATGAAAGAGAGAGTGGGGAACAAACAAGAAATTCATAAATCACTAATCGAGTGAATCAACAATAGTCATAATTATTAACAAAACAGTGAATATGACTATTATGTGACTACTCTGTAAATCGAGATACAATGAAATCTGATACAACTCGGACGACACAAACCCCATACATTTTGCTCTGAACAAAACAAACGCTCGTAAATTGCGAACCAAACATTATAATCCATAGACTAAATTAAGAAAAAAAAATAAAAAAAAAAACAATTACATACAATTTCTGATCTTTTTCACGCAATTTTTCTTCAACATCAAGCATAGAGCGCTACAAAGACGACGACTAGGCACCTCGATCTCGCCCAAAAATACTTGTGTATATACAAATATGTCAAAAGACGAAAAAAAGGAAAAAGGAAAAAAAAAAAAAAAGACGAAGAAGAAGAGAAGAGGAGAGATTGAGAACGTGAGAGAGAGAGAGGGAGTGAAAGAGTGAAATAAATTATATCACATTAAAAACCTAATCACATAAGGGCACTTTAGTCTTATCATGTCTAGTTAGGGGGGTCTCACTAATTAAGAATGAAACTTGGGTGTAGGCAAAAGTCTTTAATAGTCAATTGGGTTTAGTTCAAAATATTTTCTATTTGAGGGGGTTATTGCATATTTCCCCTTAAAAGAATGGAAACTTGAAATGCCAACCGTCAAACTGGACTTTTATTTGCATGGAAGTTTTTTATTTATTAATTAAAAAATAAAAAAGAAAAAAGAAAAAAGAAATTCAGAAACAACTGTCGATTGGAGAAATTGTGTTCGAAATTTTCAAAATCAACGACTTTAATAAATTTCTGCAAGAAATCGTTGAAGATCAAAGATCATAAATAAAATTAGGGGAGACACACCTTTTGAAAAAGAAATTGTTTTTTTATTTTTTTTATTTAGAAACAAAGATTTATTTTTGGAGACGTGATAAATTTATTTTTTTGAGGATGGAGACGTGATAAATATAAAAAAAAGAAAGAGAGTGGGAAAATGATGGTAGCGTTTAGTTAAAGATAGAGGTGTAAACGAGGCGAGCGACAAAAGCTCAAACTCAAACTCGAACTTTTTGAGCTCGAGTTTTCAGACCAGTCGAGTCTAACACAAGCTTTTTTTTTTCAAATTATAACTTATTTTTTTTAAATATAATTAATATAAAATAAAATAATAAATTCATATAAATAAAAAAAAAAATTATAGGTTATTTTTTTATTATAATAAATTCTAATAATATTAATAAAAAAAATACACAAAATGGGCTTAGGCTCGAGCTCGAGCTTCAGCAAGCTCTGCTTGCTGAAGTCCAAAAACAATACTCGAAGAGCTTGAGCTCGAGCTCTTAAAAACAGTCAAGCTCGGTTGGTTTACACCCCTAACTAAAGAGGCGGGTTTTCATTTTTATTTATTTATTTATTTATTAATTATTTTTATTATTTTGAATAATTAAAGAAGGGAAGACATGATTTTGGATTAGTGCAGAAATGGGGTATAATAGGTACACAAAATGTTGAAACAAACCAAAACATATTTTGTGGCAGCATTTGACACATATCTGGCAAGAAGCCCACTCCTACAACTAATAATTCTTTTTATCTCTGATAATTCTCTGTGTTTTAATTTTTAGTCGGTCAGAAATTTACAAATAAATACAAATAAATACTTCCAATAATAATAATAATAAATAAATAATATATCTCACTTTATATAAATATTTATTTTTCGGCTAATTGTCCTCATATATGAAATCTCATTATATCCAAAATAATAATCTTAGGAAAATGATTAGTTATGTCTGAAATCTCAACTTATTGATGTTGTAATGAGATTATCATGTTTTTGTTTTTGTTTTTCTTGTGTCGTGTGATATTTATTGCTTGAAGTATACTTTTCGATTTCAATTATTAGAAGAAATCACTGTCTTGATTTTATATATTAATACAACTTTTAATTATTTTATAGAAATGGTTTTAGACTATAGAAAAATATATTCACGGCTGCTTTTAAAACTATAGCTTGTAAAAATAATTTATTTTACGGAAAAAGGAAAGAAGCAAAAGCTATATATTCATAAACACATTAAAGAAAATAGATTGTGAGGTCAATTGGTTTGGGGGTGATAAGTTGGTGTAAGGTTTTAGGATCGAGTATTGGCAGTCGCAATGTGGGAATTTTAATTTCAATGAGAGTTGAATTTTTGTGCGCATCAGATTCAGATTCGCTACTCTAACATGTTGTTGAGTCACTGTAATTTACGTTCATTTATCAAAAACTTATCGAATCAGAGAATGGAGATCCCGGGGCGAGAGATTTCACCTTTCTTAGTGCAAGAATTGGTCATATATTACAAAGTTGAGTAGAATGGCAACCATGCCAAATAGGAAAATAAACACTTTCACCTAAAAATAAATAAAAATTATGCCAATTGCAAAATGAGGAGTAGAGAGCAAACAATTGTCAAAGTAGGAAAAATCAATTGCATATAGATCTAAATTGACAAGAATTGAGGACCATATTCATTGAGGAGATGATAGTATAACATGTCACATTAAAAGATGAAATGTACACAATGAGTGATACTACCTCTCCCCTTATTATTTTTTAGGAAGTAAAAATGAAAAGTATTAATTAATTTAAATATTTAATCTTTAACTCGATATTTCATCTTAGCTCTATAGTGGATCTCCACATCCCCACTTATGTTACTCATCATGCTAATCAACTCCCTCTTGGTCACAATTTGTCCAATCAATAATTTTTAAATTGAAATATATATATATATATATATACATTTTTTTTGAATAAAGTCCTATTAAAATAAATAAATTATCACCATAAATTACCTTCACCTTTCTAGAGTTTAGAAGATGGATCCACCACCCATAAAATCACTCAATGTAAAGTATTTGTCCAAAATCTATTATGCTACTTTCCATATATATATATATATATATATATATATATATATATATATATATATATATATATATATATATATTATAATTTTTTTAATTCTTATTTTATTTTTCATCATGATTTGGTGGTGAGCAAAGGGTCCATATTAAGTATGAGGATACCAATAATTCTTGATTGTGAACATTTCATTTAACTTTATTTTGGCAATCACATTTCACATCCTATATCTCTAATATCTATGGCCACTTGCCCATGTGATCAAACACTTAAAAGAAGTGACTCACAACATCAATTAATGTTGAATGTCCTTATCTCCTATTTGTGTCATATCATCAAAATATTTGCTAATTTCCCTTACAACCTTAACATAAACTCATTAATTGTGTTGTAGACAAAATAATACTTTTGATCTTCACATTAGCAAGTAAAATGACTAGTAGCTTGCTTTGGAATTTTGCTTCTTATTTCAAATCCAAATTCAAACCTTGTTATGATATGGTGAAGTCTGAGAGCGGCATGATTCAAACACTAGACATCTACTCTAATAGTACATGCTAGGTATCAGCTCGCCTACTGATCGAGGGTTGGCAGCTTGCTTTGGAGTTTCTTTATGCAATTTGCCTGAGAATATGTTTTTTTCTTTATTAGGCGAATTTGAATATTGTTTTCGAGCAAGTTCAACTATAAGTCAATAACACACTTCATTCTTTAAATTTATTTATAATTGTACAATATCTTCCTTTAAAATGCAATAATGGGATATTGCAACAATTTTTCAAGATTAACAATAGTATTACAAAGATACTCTACCTTTTGAGCTTTACCTCATATATATTAATTAAGATAGTTTATTGACATGTTGAAAGAGAAAGGAAAAATTAAAGCAAAAGATGTTTTAGAGTTGTAAAGTCCAAAGAGGATATGCCGAAAAGTTTTGTAGATAAATGGATAATAATAAAAAGAAGTATGTATATTATTCTTTCAAAAGTTGGTGAAAAATAAAATCTATTTTGTAATATTCTTTTACAAAGAATATTCATTTTTTCATTCAATATCAATAAATAAATAAAATTGCTGCAATGATGATTTATGTATTATCAATATCGTGTTGTTGTGACAACACACTGCCTACGGTTTGTGGGTGATTATAGGTAATTATGTATGGATTGAGAAGTTTCACAAGATTGTCATATATATGAATGTGTATTAAATTTTTAAATATTTAATATGGCCCAATTTAATATTCTTCTTTAAATTGCAATATTCTCGTAGGTTGTATTTAAATTTGATGAGAAAGAATTTCATCAAAGTAGTATCTCAAATGATTTCATACAAAATTTAAGATAAATTACGGTCACTTCTGAATTAATGTCAAATTGTGAAAAATTCTTATATTTGGGTAATTACAAACACCTATTCAACTATAAATTCTTACACGTACATATTTGCGGTGTTAAATTTAGTGGAATGTTCTAGATTACGTGGAATATTCTTCAGTTTGTACCCGTTTCACCCCATTCTAGCTCCACATTTTGAAACATCAGATTGTGTGTCTAGGCTTGTAAATATCAGATTGTGGAGAATGCACAAAACGATTACAAAATAGACAACATTCCACAGACTCTAGAAGATTCTGTTAAATTTAATATCATAAGGTGAATATGTAAAAATATTCATAATTGAGGAGGATGGTTATAATTACCCAAACATAAATATTTTTTTTATAATTTGACATTACTTCATGAGATAAACGTAATTTATCCTAAAATTTAATATTGGGTGAGTACAATAACTCAAAACATAATTCAAATCAATAGAGAAGGATTTAAAATCTATAAGTTGATTATATAATTAAAAACTATTTTAAATTCTGAGGAATGCATATTAGATCATGTGACACTACTATATTATCGGATAAGTCACAATCGCTCCCGATGTAAGGTTTATTTACAAAAACTCTCGTCATTTTTTTCAAAATTACATTCATTTCTGTAATTTGTAGATTTCTTACACTAACAACCTTTTGTAGGAGGGTGTATGTAAGATATAATTTCTCAAAAAGTAGAGTTGTTTTGTAATTACACTTTACCTCGGGGAGGTGATTGTAATTTACGCTTATATGCACAGGTCTAATTTATAAATGCATATAAAATAGGCTATGTATATGGGCTTGTATAGTTGAAGGCCGATTTATAAGGAGAACACAATTCTGATACACCAAAGCCCATTAAAAGCCCACTGAATAAACACAATCCAGCGAATGGTGAACTCGATGAAAAAAGCTCGAATTCAAACTCGAGTTTTTCGAACTCGAGCTTACTGACGAGTCGAGCTCGAACTTTTTTTAGTTCATTATTTATTTTGTTATGACATAAAATAAATTTTAATAATAATATAAAAATATGCGTTCGAGATCGTCAAAATCGTCTCGAGCTCAACTCGTTCACACTCCTACTTAGGATGAAATCGAAACGAACTTTTCAATTCTCATCGATTCAGATTTAAAAAGAATCCGGTTTTGGGAAAATGTTTTTCATTGGCACTTCTGAATATTTTTATTTTTATCGAAATTGGAATATAAATGGAATTCCGATTTACAATCCGATTTTTAATTTATGAAAATACTATAATTATGTGAATATAATTTTAATTTAGTGTAAATTCCACTTTCCCCATTTGTACTTTGGTTCAATATCACTTTATCCCATTCTACTCTCGATTGCATCGAATTTGCCCCATGTACTTGAAAATTTGTCTCAATATATGTCCATCGCCGTTAGTTTTCAGATATTTGACATTTACACCGTTGATCTAAGTCTGAAAATTACAAAAAACCCACCCCTCTCAGTTTAAATAATTATTAAAAAAATTAAAAAAAATAAAATTATATAAATAGCTGTCGTCGTGGACTATGCTTTCTTGTTGTCTTAAATTTTTATTATTAACTTTTTGTTTTTTTTATTCTTTTTTATTTTTTAATAATTATTTAAATTGGGAAGGATCGCGTTTTTTAACAATTTTTCTGAATTTATTTGGAATAAAATAATAACTACTTTCACTTTCAATAACAATAATTAAAGAGAAAAAAAAAGTGGAATATTTCAAAAAAAAAAAAAAAAAAACAAATGAAACTGTTTGGGAAGCTGTGATTGGGTCAAATTACGCTACTCGTCTTTGCCAGTTAGGACATATTCAAAATCATCAATTCAATCAAAACATTCATAAATGGAAAAACAAATTTAATAATTTCAAAATCCAAACCAATCTCTCTCTCTCTCTCTCTCTCATCCCTCCAATTGGGTTTCTTTCAAGATTCTTGAATTTTTCCAACTGTTTCTTTGAAACTTCTTTCTCTTTTCTCTGCCGTTTTGCTCTTCTTTCTTTTTATCTTTTTAATTTAAATCTCTCTCTCCCCTACAAGAAGGAAGAGGAGAGAGAAAGAGATGAATCCGAACTGGGAACTGAAGAATTGTTGTCAGCATGAACAAGTTATGTTTCTTGCCACCATTGGCGTCTTCACTCTTGTTATTCTTGCTGTAAGTTTTTTCTTTTTCCCTTTTTTGCCCCTTCTTGTTCTCTTTTATGCCCATTTGACCCTTTATTGCACTCTTTATTTCGTTTTACTTTTGCCTGTAGATTCATTGTTTGATTTATTTATTTATTTGCAATTTATGTACCTTCCCCTTTTCTTGAAATTCTTGAATTCTTGAAATTATTTGATTCGTTTAGGTGGGCCTTTTTTTTCTTTCTGAAAGAATCACTAGTGGCATTGAAAAAGTCGTTCAGAAGTATGTGGACTGATTTACGAGTAGTAGTTAATCGTATAGTTATGAATTTGATTAGCTGATTCTCATAGATGCAAAACTTGTGAATTTCGTTCGAAATCAAACTCGCGCTATACGTGTAGTAGTTAATCGTATCGTAACCAAAAAAAAAAAAAATCGATCTGCATTCGTTAGTTGTCATGATATTCGATACTAACAAATGCGATAGGGTAAAGTACAATGACGATCACTTCCGTAAAAAGGGTCGTAATTGTTCGACATTTGGCTAAATTAGCGTAACATCAAGCAATTTATCGAGCGAGGTCCCATTAAGATCGTCTTGCCTTAGATGGATTTTTCTTGGGTCGTATTTTGTTTATGATTTTTTTTTCTTTCCCGTATTTCGTGCAAGCAAATATTTTACGACATTAGTCCATGTAATTTTCTTCCCCGTCTCGTTTTTTTCATGTAATAATGACAGCTATGGAGGACGTTTCTGCTAACACCTTTTAAGCTGATCACCGTATTTCTTCACGAAGCAAGCCATGCGATTGCTTGTAAGCTTACATGTGGAGAGGTATCGTATACTTCAAGAAACGACTATTTTATTCGCTTTTACGAACTATATAATGGTTTACATTGACTTTTGTTTTACTGCATCAATATTTTTTATTGTAAGATTCCTATAATTTTGGGATGTAGATTAGAATCGAATCTATCGAATAATGCGGGTATTTAAACTGAAATCGTCGGACTTTTTGACGTTCGACATTTTGTACCAAGATATAATTATGACAAAATAAGCCGTTTATAATCTAAAAGAATGTGGAAAATCTGGTTAGCACGATCGATCCGAAAGTCTTTCTAAATAGTAAAAAACTCGGTGTTTGTCACAAACAGCTTCTAATGAAATCGAAGCTCTTAAAACAGAAACGAAATCTTCTAAATCTTGCAAGTGTCTGAATAGTTCTAGATTGTATAACTTTCTTTATCATATATAATTTATATTTATTTATTTTTGAATAATTCTTTTTTACGTGCAGGTAGAAGGGATCGAGGTTCATGCAAATGAAGGCGGAGTCACTCGTACACGTGGCGGTATATACTGGTTGATCTTGCCAGCTGGATGTAATAACTACACTTCTCTTGTCCACATCATTATTCACTTCCGATTCCTTCAAAACAAAAATTACGAGTCGCTTATTTTTTTTTTTTAAATTTCGTTTTATATTTATAGATCTCGGTTCGTCATTTTGGGGCATGGTTCTCATACTTGCATCGACAAATCTTCTCGCTGCTAAAATTGCTTCTGGTTGTCTTATCCTTTCGCTTCTTATTGTTCTCTTCATCGCCAAAAACGTAAGTATCTTAAAAAAACGGGGATGCAAATTAAATATTAATATTAATATTTCTTTGAATTTGACTATATTTGTTAAGATTTTATATATCTTAATTATTTCTTTGATTTCTTCAACAGTGGACTCTCCGAGGACTTTGTATCGGTAAGTTACTTCACCGACAAGCCTACGTGGCATGATTCTGAGAAATCGAGGTTACTAATTAATCCTTGAATTAATGTAATTTTCCAGGATTTATCGTTTTTATAGCTCTTGTTTGGGTGTTGCAAGAAATGACTAAAGTTCGTATACTTCGCTACATTATTCTATTCATCGGTACGCAACTCATTTTTTTATATATTTTTTTAATTATTATTCTTTAATTCTTCTCATTATTTTATATTTTTATGTTGCTTAATGTGTCTTCCTTTTTTTTTTCTGCAGGTGTAATGAATAGTTTGTTTTCAGTCTACGGTACAAACTCCACCTTCGTGTTTTAGTAAAATTAAAATACCGTATATCAGAATGAAAATATAATTATATGTTACGAATCACGGTGCAGATATATATGACGATTTGATATCCCGAAGAGTTAACTCGAGCGATGCAGAGAAGTTTGCCGAACTTTGCCCCTGCCCTTGTAATGGACTTGCATGGGGAGTTATCTGGTACGTTTTTTTGTCGAAAATAGTACGAAATGTTTAATATTTGTATATGATTTTACGAAGAATTTTTTTTTTAATAATATTCGAATTAATATTTTTCGGCAGGGGAATGATATCTTTCGTATTTCTTTGTGGATCAATATATCTTGGACTTGTCATCTTGTCTTGAGGTACCTTTATATTGCAGTATTTTTTTTTTTTTTTTTTAATTTCCTGTGAATTGTTCATATTTTTCTGTAGACTTATTCAGTAATTATTTATTTTTATTTTTTTATTTATTAAATCAGGGTTGAATGTGTCAAGACTCAAGACTGTGAGATAGCAATATTTTCTTCAATTGTTTCCATTTATTTTGTTATTTAGATAGTTTTTCATGTAAATACACTTTATTTATTTATACACATAAAATTCATTTTTTCACCTTTAAATGGATTTTGATCTATTAATGATTGAAAATTTTAATTGTTTTTTTTAACAATGTATATTATTTAGACTACAAAACTTATAGGGTAAATTATGAGGAACAAAAACCCGAACTTATGCTAAATTCCGAAGAACAGACCTGTGTGTAATTACCAAAATCCTTCCGATGTTTGTTTCCGTCTTACACCAACCTCTTACGGTGTGATTTTTTAAGGAATTTTTTTTCTTTCACGGATATTCCCAAAAAATGTTCATTCTACCCCTAAAAATGTTGCAGTGTCACAACACTTCTTGGATTGCTATTATAAAAACTTGCCTATGTAAAATAATATTTACATAGGCAAGTTTTTTAAACATCTGTGACTCTACCTTCAATATGCTCCGCTTTCTGCTGGGTGGAATCGACATTTTTCATGGAATATTTCACTTGACTACAAAAAAACCGTGAAAAATTACACTATGTAAGGGGGTCGGTGCAAGTCGAAAACAAACATCAGGATGATTTTGGTAATTACGGACAAGCGGATGCGTTTTTTTTGTAATTTAATCTAAGTTAGAGGTGGGTTTTCGTAATTTATCCAAACTTATACTACTATAAAAATGAATTACAGAACTTGGCCTAAGAAATACTTGTGGAACTATAAAATGACAAAACAAATTAGACTACAAAACAATCTATAATAAAAATGTAGAAAAATGATTAAATTAATTTTAAAAAAAATCTGACAGATAATGGAATCTCATGTTGATTGGATGGATCCAATCAGTATTGCTTTAAAATCAGTTGGTGGGAAACCTTTGGACCAATCCAGTTAATATGAAAAATATATTAGTTTTCATCCCTTAAGTTTGGACTGATTTCATATTTGACTCCTATATTTGCGAAAAATATATTTGGTTCATAATATTTCAAAACTTCAACACTTTTAGTCATTTCCGTCAATTTTCCGTTAGTACTAACAGAATCGATCGTATGCCCATCATTGCCTTGACTAACAAAGTATTATTTTAATTTTTATTAAAATAGTACAAATAATATTGTAATTGTTGTAAATAGTATGGAATGTGTGGTTTCCTAACATAACCACTTGATGGTTTTCAACTTCCCACTAGTTTATTAACTTCCCATATCTATATATGGTGTTAGTGGCGATGTAACTTCTACGTAACTTCCACATGTAACTCATTTGTAACTTCTCGGTGGCTACCACCTATATAAATGAGAAACACTCCCTCCCCACGTATCCCACAATTTTCTCTCTACGGATTCTTGTTCTTTGCATTCTCTCTTTCTCTCTTTGTCTTGTTATTTACATTCTTATGTATTTCCACAAACACAAACCAAAGAGCTAGATAAATAGGCCATTTTACAACACGTTATCAGCACGAAGTGCTCGTTGTTATTGTGGAAAGACAATTGTTTATGGGGCGAGGATACTTGAAGAATTCGAGGTGCTCGTGGAAAGGTAATTGTTCATGGGACAAGGTTACCTGCAGAACTTGTGACCCAGGTTTATATGTGAAACGGTAATCTCGAAAAAATATATTATATTCTTCGTAATATTTGGATTTAAGTGTTTCAAATAAACTTTAATCTCCTTGAAATTTTGATTTCGTAAGAGATGCATGATAGATCTATTTAATGGCATGAAATATATGAATAAACTTTATGTTCAAGTCATTACTTCATTTATGCCGTGGATGATTTGAAAATATGACCTGGTTGGTAGTCCTTATTCTGTGAATAGTATGATTAAAATGCCTTCATATTTCATATAATAATTGCTCTGAGCATGTGAAATGATTTCTTGTTATCGGGCAAAAGTATTAGATGTTCAAGTATGAAATATTGTCATGAATTTTGCCGTCTCACTCATGCTATATGATTCTATGTATTTTGCTATATGTGATGATTCAATGTTTGAGATTCAAAGTGATGAAATCTGGTATATATTCTTTTGTCTCATGCTCTTAACGTATTATCACTTGTGCCCGATGTGATTGTATGAATTTTACATTATGGATATGTTTAGGTAATTGGTAATTAACTATCTCAGTCATTTCAAATTAGTTCGTGGAATTTGTATGAGATATATATACATGATAATTATGATTTATATCATGACAAGTTATACGGTTTTGGTTATCTTTTATACTATATTAGAGCATGCTATATGTCTTTAATGTTTGGCAAATTTACACTGTCTTGATTGCATAAAGACTTTGGTCAATCTCTAATTCAGAATTCTCGATTGACGTATAGTTTATTTGTCATATGTAATTTTATGACATAAATATGGTAAGCAATATTTCGTTTGTCGTTATGGTTTATCGTATGAAATCCATGAGTGTGTATGAACATGTGGTGTATGAATTATTAGACCGGAAGTTCTAATATGTGCAAAATATTCATGAAATTATTTATGGAGGTTACATCCCCATAAAACAATAATACTCCTTATTCTATTTGATTTGAGATGAAACACATGAGCAAACTCGAGTTTACCCAACTTAATGTATTTCGTGAAAGTTTTGTTGGTTGGAGAATGGATGTTAAGATCCATAAGCTTAGTGAGCAATTGAGAATGGTTGTTTTCGAGTATAATTTATTAGGTAAAGCCCAGAAGGCTGAGACTATGTTTCTGATTACAAGATAATTAGATGAAGTCCTTCGTTTGGACTATTCATCAAACAAGGGTCCCCATAAAGAATGGGATAACCTCACTAGTCGTCTTGATTACCAAAAGACAATACGCTTGCCTGAAGCAAGGAGCAAATGTTCATAAACGATTTGTATATGAACTTTAAAATCCGAATAGAGCTCAAAATCAGAACATAAATATATGTTTTATATATAGTGGATCTAAGAATTGGTCGCGCACCTGAAGTGCGAGGAACGTTTGGGCTGGAGATGCAAATAATAATGCACCAGCATAGACTGAGTTGGTAGAGACAAATATTTTCTATGTATAGCCCGTCACTCAGCCTCCATACTTGGGCACATCTAACTAAATAACCCTTGTTGGGATATGATTGAACTGTTGATTTCATGCATTATGTTTATTTTATTACTCGGGTTTATTATTTTATTGAATTTCAACCATCTTACTTCATATGCTCATGTTATGAACCATATTCGTATTTCGATTATGTTTAGTTCATGCTCTGGATCATATATTTATGTCACTATGTGTTCTAAGTTAATTATTATGTTATTCATTGGTGTTTGCTTGATGAATTTATTTAGTACCTGAAGTACTGAAAATATGTGATTAGAATATATAACGCTCTAGACATGACATGTGGGGATAAATGTCTGGCAGATAGTGCGACTACACATACTATCCTTAGAGATAAGTCGTATTTATATTAATTTCATGTCTAGTAGTAGCAAAGACCTCTTTGATAACTAAATGAGGCCGATGTAGTTTTGATAGATGGTTATGGTAATGTCCACATTATGTTATCACATGACACAACTTTTGCCATTAAAGTAGTTATTTTTCCTCCACGTTCCAGTAGAACGTTATTAAACTTTAAAGATATTTGAGCTAATGGTTATTATGTTGAAATCATTGAAGCCAAGAAATCGAATATATGTGCATCATCTCTAACATGTACGACCAGAAGCGTACATTGGGAAAATTAGAGGAATTTTTCGACACGGTTATGTAGAACCACAATTTGAATGCTAGAAGCATAAATTGTTGATTGCTTGTAATTTGATTATATGTCAGCATATGCACATACATGAAATGATTCAATATTTTTTGGAAGAAATCCAAGAAGATATATGTGAAATATGTATCACCATCTATAACTTAAATTTAGAACCTTAGACAGGCGATCTCTTACCCGCTCAAATTGCGGACTGTCACTTTGATGAGATTGTCTTCCCGCCGTTAGGGGGAGGAAAGAACGTCTAAAGAATGGCGTGAAGTCGTGTGAGACGACCCCACCGTGTCTCATCAAGATCTCTTACAGAGAATTGATATATAGATTAATAGATCATCCACACTAACGTTCCTGAAGAACGGCGTGAAGTCGTGTGGGACGACTACTAAATCTGTAAAGAATGTCAACACTAATGTTCCTGAAGAACAGCGTGAAGTCGTGTATGGCGAATAATGCCAGACTCATTCTATGGTTTGAAAAAGTGACGAGATCTCAAATAAGCCTGCAAGGATAGATGTCCTAGAAGGACAATGACGGGTAGGCCATCAATCCATGCTAACAAGTCTTGCATCCCTTACTAGGAGAGGGGAGAGCAATGGGACCAAAGGATTCTCACCCCCGGAAGTGGATGAATGTCCAACAATCGAATCCGGTTAGCACTAGTACAAATGGGATCCCACCTGATCCATCTCATAAACTAATTCCGGACTATGGATTCGTCATGTAGACGAAGTCGGGGGACGCCTCGACATTAATATCCATTCCCGTGAATATAAAAAACTCGGTTAGTTATTCATGCATGAATGAGATGTGGTATTGGGATGAAATGATCATCGATGATAAACTTCTCTACACAGTAGCTACTGAAATTTTTATCGAGTGATGATATAAACCTCGATCAATTGATAAGCGTAAACAAATGGATGATGGCCGAAATGAAAACAAAAATCAATCCAAGCTGAATTTGATTCATTGATAAAATGAAGAGTGTAGAGACCAGTAGTTCCTACAACTCCTTGAATTTCACCCATGGGATATAAGTGAGAACTCACAAAGAAAAGAAATGAGATTGGGAGCCAAAAAGCTCATCTCATACCTCAAACGAGATTGGGAGCCAAAAAGCTCATCTCATACCTCAAACGAGATTGGGAGCCAGAAGATTCATCTCATAGCTCAAATGAGATTGGGAACCAGAAGATTCATCTCATAGCTTAAACGAGATTGGGAGCCAGGAGACTCATCTCATAGCTCAAGGAATGAAATGAGATTGTGAACCAGAAGATTCATGTCATAGCTCAAATGAGATTGGGAACTAGAAGATTCATCTGATTGCTTAAACGAGATTGGGAGCCGGGAGACTC